GATCTATTGGAGGGCAAGTCTGGTGCAGAGCGACTGACCCGTGCGTGCTGCAGCTGAAACTCCGCTATAGCCTGCTGCTGCTCGCACATTCTCTCCAGCATGTGCAAGGTGGAGTTCCACCTTGTGGGCACTTCGCATATGAGGCGGTGAGCGGGAAGGCCAAAGTTACGCTGCAGCGCATATATGCGAGCAGCAGCAGGGTGAGAACACTGAAAGCGCGCACAGCCGCTACAGTGAAACTGCGAATGGTTCATTAAATCAGTTAAGGTTTCTTTGTTACTTGGATAATTGTGGTAATTCTAGAGCTAATAGATGCCGATGAGCACCAGGGGAAGGCCGCTCCGCTTTTGCACCCTGCTCCCTCTTATGCTGTGCTGGTGCCTCTGTGCGACCACCGCCTCTTCCTCCAAACTGCACACGTCACCCTTTTGACCTTTCTTCCATGTGGGGTCTAGGACCTCATCATCCCCCACATCATCTTCCACCCATTCCTCAACCCTGCCCTCCTTGCCGGTATGCACACTGCAGAAAGCCACAGCAGTTGGCACCTGTGTTTTTCCAGCATGTAAAGTCTGCAAAGGACATATGGAAATTGCTTTAGAATTGTATCCAGGCAACAGTTTTCCCTATAAACTGACCTCTCAGTTTGACTTGTGAGGGTATTGCCCCAGAATTACAATATTGTTTAAGTACCTCTTAGCAACGGTTTTAAATATAGCAGCTTGTTATCTGGTAGTTTCTAGTGTAGAAAATATCAATCTGTTTTCTATTACTTAGATCTGTTTAACAAGTGTTGTAGGTGTGAAACAATATTACCAGTGACGATGTAGTAAATTAGAATCAAAGTTCCATTTGCAAAAAAGAATTCTCGCCCATCTTCTGTGGGTTATTGCATTTTTAAGATGTAGACTTATTGTATCACACTAGCCATGCACAGGTAGATTGTCTGGCATGTTGTTTTGGTGTTTGGTTTTAACCTTGTAGATGTGTCTTTACACAATATAGAAATGTATATTAATGCTTCTGTATATGAAGCGATCACAATAACACTTATTTTTCACTTTTTAAAAAAATCTTTAGACTTTCTTGAGAAGCGGTAACTAGCCAGTGTTGCACACATACACCAGATATGAAGAGCACACCCCAAATGTACTATTTAGCAGCAATTTTTTTTTCATTTTTTAAAACTGCGCTGAAAGCATGGTATTTGACGCTTCTATTTGACTCTCAGATATGAAGTGCACCGCAGGCCGCAAATGTACTATTTAGCAGCATAAAAATTTGAATGTTTAAAACTGCTATGTCACAGCAGTATTTGACGGTTCTATTTGACTCTCAGATATGAAGTGCAGGCTCCAAATGTACAATTTAGCACCTAAAGAATTTGAATGTTTAAAAATGCGCTGTAACCACAGTATTTGACGGTTCTATTTGACTCTCGGATATAAGTGCACCGCAGGCCACAAATGTACTATTTAGCAGCAAAAAAATGTGAATGTTTAAAACTGCGCTGTAAGCACAGTATTGGACGGTTCTATTTGACTCTCAGATATGAAGTGCACGCCACAAATGTACTTTTTAGCCCCCAAAAAATGTGAATTAGGCAAACTGCAATGTCACAGCAGTATTTGACTCTCAGATATGAAGTGCACCGCAGGCCGCAAATGTACTATTTAGCACCCCAAAAAATTGAATTTTGAAAACTGCGCTGTAACCACAGTATTTGACGGTTCTATTTGACTCTCAGATATTACGTGCAGGCCCCAAATTTACTTTTTAGCACCTAAAGAATTTGAATTTTTAAAACTGCAATGTAAGCACAGTATTTTACGGTTCTATTTGACTCTCAGATATGAATTGCAGGCACCAAATGTACTATTTAGCACCAAAAAAATTAGAATTTTTAAAACTGCGCTGTAAGCACAGTATTTGACGGTTCTATTTGACTCTCAGATATGAAGTGCACCGCAGGCCGCAAATGTACTATTTAGCACCAAAAAGTTTTATTTTTTAAACCAACAATGTAACTGTAGTATTTAAAGGTTTTATTGGAAATGTACTATTTAGCACCAAAAAAATTGCAGTATTTAAAAATGCCTAGATGTTGCCCACTGAGCTACCAGAACAGGATTAAAGTAATGTGCCTGGCACACATACAGTTGCAAGTGCACTGCACTCTCTGTGGCACTGGACTCAGGCCAGGGTACAAAAATGTAGTATTATAGCACCCACAAAAATAAATCGCTGTAGTTTGCAGATTCAACACCAGAATTATTTCCTAACCTGTCCCTCACAGCGGCAGCATCCTCTCCCTACACTAATAAGAGCTCATGTGCGTGCGGCACTATGTGACTCCAGCTTATATATAGAGGCTGGGTCACATGCTGCACTTGCCAATCACAGCCATGCCATTAGTAGGCATGGCTGCGATGGCTTCTAAGGGCACACGAGTCAAACGCTTGTTGATTGGATGCCCGGCAGCCTTTCAAAACGTGCCATTAAATCGACTAACACCGAACTCCAACCCAAACAAACACTGATATGTCGTTGTTCGGGTCCGGGGTCCAAAAAACTTAATGTTCAGTACAAACCCGAACCTTACAGTCCGGGTTCACTCAACTCTACCCAGGATAGTAATTATTGTAGTTTCTCAATATCTGCAATAAATACTATTGCAGGGTTAAGGGACCTGAGAATATGCACACAGACCACTTCAATGATCTGAAGTTATCTGGGTGCCTATAGCGTCCCTTTAATACGTTGAAACTCATAACTGAAACACAGTGGCTTCTTTCTTTTTGGGCACCACCACTCCTAACACTGATTGGCAGAACAGGTTTACTAACCAGAAATTATAAATATCTTTCATTCCCTACCTTTATTTTTTTTAAAAGAGAAAACATGTTCTCTCTTTTTGTGGAATGGCAAAAGCCCATGGATTGTAAAGAAAAATATTTAATTCTATTTTGGTTAAGCTTTGTCTAGGTCTTGGTGGGAAATTATCCATACCTTTCCTCCCTAATCCTTTATTCCAAGAAGGTAAAACAAGTTAACAATTTAGGAGGGTGCTAATAAATATCTAAACCTTCTGATACAATTTTACTGACTTGTGGTTTAAGAAATAAGAAAAAGTTTATAACCTTATCTCAATGACCTTGGTGTGGGAAACCAGAGTAATAGACATCAAGCATGATGCCAGGCTCTCACACCACTTCAGTGAGTGGACCCGCTTACTTTCCAGCTGGGCCTGCCCATCTAGTGGCATCACCAGTCTTTGATTCCTGCTAGCACAAACTTGGCAGATATGAAAGAGCACTACTACTAGCAAGTTTTATATACATATTAAATTATATATAGAGCACACTTCCAGAACATCAGGACAGAATGGAGGGAATTTGCTAATTTGTTCTACCTTAATATAGATGCCCTTTAATCTACATGGGGAAAACTTTATAAATAAAAAGCATCCACCTATGAAGAGATGCACCTAAAAAAATATCAGCAATGATATTTGGCTCACAATAAGCACTTTTGCTTAAAAATGCAAACTTCCTTGAATTGCCTTATGTGGAGTAGACAGGCCTGCTCCACTGTCTATGGTCTTTCAAATTCAAAGGTTTTGGTGGTTCATTCAAACCTAAGCTTTCCAATATCTACAATTTACATACTTATTTTCAGATTTATCTAAAAAAGAAAAATGCATTCAACAGACATTAGTTTTATTTCCCCCCCAACCCTTTACCATTATTAGGGTGAGGGGGTACTAAGGATTCTTAATGGGGGTGATAAGGGGATTGGGTACCCCTAGCTACCCATAGGGGAAGGGGAAGGGGGTGGACCTTTACTTGAACAATAGCATGCCCACTCTTTACTCCCGTTGTTTAATTTATTATGGCCCCAACCTGCTGAATATTGGTGAAGGGTGGTCGAGGGGACACTAGGTGCCACTGAATAGTATTAGGGGCCCCTACTGCCTCCAATAATTGGGAGGCAGAGGACATAAGATCCTAGCCCTTTAATATTATTATCAGTGCCCTCACCCACTAATGGCTGGAGTCTGGGGGAAGGGCCATAGGTCCTTTGCACTTTAATATTATAGCCATGGGTGGCTATAATAAAGCTTTTCATTATGCTTTCTTCACTTGACAGAGGTAGTTCTGCCTTTTGGCAAGTTTAGTAAAATTACTTGGACAAATAAGGTATTGTCTCGCTCATTGTGAGACAATATCTATGCAGGCTCCCAGGGTCTCCTGGGATTATCCATAGATATAAGTGCTGTATTCTAATGCATGTGCCTGAGTACAACACTGAAGTGGGCTTCTGGTGGATGAAGTGGCAGCAGGGCCGGCGCTTCCTATAAGGCGGAATATTGAAGTCTCCAAGAATTAGGGATGGGATGTTGGAAGAGAGGAAGTAGGGTAGCCAGGCAGCAAAGTGGTCAAGGAAGAGGAGAGGGGAACCAGGGGGACGATAGATTACGGCAATGTTAGCAGAGAAGGGTTTGAAAAGGCGAATTGAATGAATTTCAAATGATGGGAAAGAGAGGGAAGGGGGGGGGGTAGACAGGGTTTTAAAGGTGCAGTGGGGTGAGAGAAGAAAACCTACACCGCCACCTTTAATCTCTGCTTGTCTTGGGTTGTGGGTAAAGTGAAGACCACCAAAAGACAGTGAGGCAGGTGTAGCAGTATCAGAGGGAGAGAGCCATGTTTCTGTTAGTGCAAGTATGTTTAGGGAGTGTGAGATAAATAGGTCATGGATGGAAGTAGATTTAAAGGTGCTGCACACAGAGCGTGCATTCCAGAGGGCAGCTTTAAAAAGAGGAATTATAGTGAG